ACTCATGCGTAATACGCTTTCGACCAATATCCTTAGTCTCCCCGGGGCCACCGTTTTGCGAGGAGTCCCTGGCTGGAGTCAACTAGAGCTGGCTGGGTGTTGCCAGTCAACCGGCAGCCTTCTGCTAGCAGACAAGTTTGTTCCAGGAAGGGGCCTCAAGTATACCCCCAATCGAAATAGCCCCTCTCCAAGAATTCAAAAAAGGGATCACGAATTATTCCATTCCAGGATATCCTCATGTTTAGCATGTCGCAGCCTCCCTCCGGCAGCCACTCTTGACCCTTACTCCAAAACACCCCAAACCCTTAGGCCCTAAAGCCGTACTTCAGTTCCCTTGCCAAATGGAACCAACGCACACCTCAGAGGTCTCAGCCCCCCCCAAAAAATTAGAGTTCAGCATACATATGTGCAACCAAGCTTGGCTAGAGTTTACGGAATAGGACATTGGAGACTTGATGCCCGTTCGTCGTTTCATGTAAAGCTTATGCGTTTGTTTCTCTGCAATGTCTGAAATCCACCTCGAAGCGTGCAGGGCGAGCAACGTGTGGAAGTGCCCTTGCGCATCTGGTGCTTTGTTGAGCAACACTTCGCAAGATCTTCTAGGGCATGCTACATCTCTGAATGGGCTCAGGGTTTTGGGATGGAATAGGAAGGTATGCACGCTGGTTGCAGTCGTGTTTTCAGGAATAGGGCAAGCAACGTTTGAAGAGACCTTGACCAACAAGTGCAAGCGTATGTTGATTGACACGTACTGGCAAACATAGGGCACAGCTTTGCAGGCTCAGGTTCCCCACACCAATGACTCTCGGGGCATTTCCTTTTTGCGGATCCATGAGTCCAAAGCCCTCAGCATCAAATCAGGGCATCTATCAGCAATCTTAGTAAAAGGACGTGCTGGGGTTTTGCGGATGCAGAAGGAAAGGGAGGTTCTCTGGTCCAATTGTTGTGCCTCCACATACTCACTGGCCATCCCTTGAATTTCATGGTACTCGGAGGATCCCAACCCCAATCCTAAACCCTAAAGCCCAAAACACTAAAACCTTATACCTTAAAACCCTAAACCCTTCCACCCTGAAACCTCCAACCCTAAAACCTTAAACCCTGAAAACTTAAAACCCGATACCGCAAAACCATAAACCCCCAAGTACGTTCCAGGCATAGTGCCCTCGGGTCCGGGCACCACGCGGGCAGCGGTAGACGAGCGGGGCCGGCCAGCGCTAACTCTCTACGAGGTCCTTGGGCTTTAGGGTTTGGAGTTTTAGGATTGTAGGGTTTAGGGTTTAGACTTCAAGGGGTCCTATAGGGATATATAGGGTACCTTCCTTTGAAGGGCTTTGTAGGGTGCATTTCGGGTTCAGGGTTTACTTTTGAGGGGCCCCGTTGATAGGACATGATTTACAGCTAAGCCCATTCTGACCCTACGGTAACCCATTATTTATAAGATTTTATAAGTACGTTCACTCGTCCCCTAACCCGTTAGTAAATCCAGGGTCCCTCACCGTAGGGTTTTGGGTTCAAGGTTTCTCCTTTGACGTTATTCTGGTAGCTTCCAAAAATTGCGGGGGGGATCCGAATATAAATATATATATATATATTTATTTATTTATGGGGACCCCAAAATACGATAATCCTTATCAATGGGACCCCAGTTTCTATCTGGTTTTCCATGTCCTTTTCCATGTGACCCTCCATTGTGGGGTGATATCATCCCTATACCCCAAAACCCTTATCCCAAAATCCCATACCCCCAACCTTAGACCCTAAACCTTAAACCCTAAACGTTCAGCCTTAAACCCTAAACCTTACACCTTTTACATTGAAAGCGAAACCTGAAAACCTAAGCCCTGAAGACGAGATAAAGATTACAAGTCCCGTTTCTAGTTTTCCTTATAATCTCAAAATTGCAGAATTTTATGCTCAAAAAGACCACCCCCCCCCCCACTTTAAGTAATTTTCATAAACCTTAACTTCAAGGTTACCTTAAACCCCAAGCCCTATAGAACCCCAACAAAGGGATCCTTAACCTGGCCACAAGGCCTTGGCTTCGCATACGTGCGAAGGGGAGGCCTGGTCACTTATACGCGCAAAGCCCAAGACTGGACGAGTCTAAGAGGCAAGTTTGGGACTTAAGGTTTAGGGTTCAAATTTTTAGGGTTTACGGTTTAAGGCTTAAGGTTTAGGTTTAGGGCTCAGGGTTGGAACATTTAGGATCTAAGGATGTTACCCCGATAACGGAGAATTAGATGGACAATGAAATGAAACTGGGGGGTACCGTCTTGGCAGTACCTCTAACAAGGACTATAGAGTATTTGGGTCTAGGTTTGGGTCCGCCTATTTTGGGAAACTACCGTTCAGGGCTCAAGGATTTGGAGTTCAGGGTTTGGAGCAGAGGGCACGCGAAAGTTTTGTGCTTATGGTCTCTATCTTGTCACAGCAGCAAGACTCAACGCAAGGAATGCATCAAATCCGTGCCCACTTGGCGAGCGTGGGCTTACCTCTGGTGGGCGACCGCAGCTCTGTCTCAGCCAACCTGATCCGGAGAACAGTATTATAGAGGATTAGAGTGTATTATAATGTATTATATAGTATAGTATAGTATAATCTAGTATAATACTGTTCAAGACTCTCCCACCTGCAGCACTGGCTGTGTTTGCTATGAGGGGAATGTGTTTCCGTCAGGGGAAGGTGGTCACATCAAGCGGAGTCTCCCAACAGGTGGCTTAGGGCCTTGGAATGTAGCGAGGGGGGCTACGAAGTTGCGTTCAGCATGCTTGAGATGGTGACGTGAACCTTGGGGCCGGTGAAGTAGAATCGCGCTACAGCCCCAATATTCGCACATTGGATTTCTTATGCTATGTCTGTATAGTGGTGAAGAGGCTTCTCTTTTCCTTCCGCGGACATCCCGCAAAGCTTTGTGTGCGCTAAGCACTTTCGCGACTTAATGAACAACTGTGGGTGTAGTGCTTGAGTCGTTTATTTGCTTCTTATGTCTTATGAATAGTTAGTCAATGTCGTTACCACTTATTCGAAAGAATAAAGGCATGTATCAGAGCAACGCATCAGTCTAGATTCATCAGTCGGGTACTCGAAATATTCAGCAACCCCCTACATCCACAGAAAGAATACTGCCCTTAGTATGAGTATGCCAGAAATCAACTCTCACCTGGAGAAACACGCACGTTTGCCAAGGCTCTAAAAACCTGCGCCCTTCAAGAAAGCTTAAAGACTTGCAGCGTCTGAATGCCTTGCGTCAGGCTTCTAAAATCGTTGGGCTTTTCTTTTGGGAGTCTCAGAAATCTGGTACAGCACCTGGAAGCTTGAGCAATCTTGAGCCTTGAACTGAAACCCCTGAACACTAAAGCCGACTGTGCTTTGAGGGACCCTGGACGCCACTCATGGATTAAGGATCCTACTTATAGTGATTTACAATATGGTTACAATCTTTTTTTGGGGGGGGTGTATAATATATTGCCTACTTCCAGGGTTCCTCAAAGTAAGGGCTCTACGGGCCGCCGCCACCGAATTGGTGTTCGCGCCTATTCCTGCACTGCCATCGTCTGACGACCCTCAGCTATTGCTAGCAGCACAAGCAAGCATTTGCAGTAGCAGCAGTAGCAGTCACAATAGTAGAAGTCTTCTTACCAGTAGTAGCAGTAGTAGTAGGAAGTGGTAGCACCGGCATCACCGCTACTACAACTTCTTTCTTCGTCTGCCAGTAGCTGTAGGGGAGGAGCAGGAGGCTTTCAGCTTTGAGTGTTCGATCTTGTTTAAGTCTAAGCGATACAAGTCAATTCTGAAAGGTTTGCAGTGCAGGTTATAGTTGTTCCACTGACTTGGACTTGAGCAGTTGAAGGACACATCTATGGTTCCCCCCATCCGTCGCATTCACTTTCATTTCTGCACAATGCAGTTCCCTTCATTTCGGCTCGGCACTTGCCCCCTTGAAGTGCCCTTCATTTGACATGCTTCGGTCCTAGAAGAGGGAACAGGCTCTACCCAGGATTGTTCTTTTTCCTGTAATTAATAGTAAACTCCCCTAAAATTAAATATTCATGAGTCTTCCTACTAATATATGTTGCATTGTACCACAAATGGAATATTCAATATCAGGGGGGTGGGGGGGAAGTTATATTAGGGGAAGGTATAATTATATACTCTCCTAGCAAGACACTATCACAAACCGAAAAAGAAACTACACAGGGTCTAGGGTTTAGGGGAATTTTGCCACCCAAACATTAACTAAGGGGTATTGTATTAACTGTTGCTAAGCTGCTGTAGGCAATCAGGGTTACTTCGTTGCCATATCCCGCGGAACCTACTAGCCAGATCCCCGAAAGGATGGTGCGGTTCTACTGCCTAAAAGCGTCAAGCCCCAAACCCCAAATTCCAAGCCACCTAATCCCCAAACCCTTCAACCCCTAAACTCCTGAACTTCTGATCCCTTTATGCTTTTCATATACCCTATACGTACCCTTGAGGGTCCCTAGAATCCCGAAAGAGGCGTTATAAGGCCAAAAATAGGGGCCCATACTTCTGACCTTAGACTAAACCCTTCAACACTGAACTCCACTGAGGCTGCTCGGTTGGGATGCCCAGGAGCTCAGTTTTTACCTATCACAGACCCAAACTTTTCTTATGGGTTGTTAGTAGTGAAGAAAGGAATATAATCCCTATACATAAGTAAATAAATATGAATCTATATATATATATGTAGACACTATATTCCCTTTTTCCCTACTGACCCCAGTAATTAAGTCTTGAATCTCTTGGCACTAGAGTTCAGGGGTGTCGGGTTTCGGGGCTAGGGATGGTGCACAGAGGCCTGGGGGCTTTTGAATTAAGCCCTTAGAACCTTCAACCCTAAACCCTGTGAAGTCTCGAGCTTAGAGTCGGTCAATCTTTTGAAGAATAGGGCAACCCCAAGAGAGACCCCAAAATACCGTAGTCTTTACTATGGGGACCCCCAAAAAAGGTTACCCTACTTGTGGGAAATCCTGGAGGAGCTCAGCGTCCTCTCCCCACTTCCGGAGGAGCTGCAGGCCGTCCTCGAACATCTGGGGGTAAGCAGGACGCTGTTTTGTGCTTGGGGTTTACCTGGTCCCTGGATGTCCTTCCTTTCTGGGGGTTGTGTCCCACATCTTCGTAGGGTATATCCCAAAAGTGGTAAGGCATCCAGGGTCCAGGTAGGTATGTCTGTGTAGGGTAAGAGATAGGTGAAAGGGTTTTGAGGGTTTGGGGTCCAGGGCTTGTGGTGTTCTGTCTTTGGGTTGTTCTGAGCAATTTAACGCGATCTCACCCGACCTCACCCCAAATGGTGGTTTATATAGGGAATAGTACCGTTTGTTGGAGCCGAGGATGTGGGTGAGCTTGGCATGTAGGCAGTTTGATTTTCCAGGGAGCAAGATCCTGGCTCCTTTGATGAAACTTGTCATGCGAATTGTCTTGCATTCTGCTACGGCCATGTGACGCCCTAAGCCCCAAAACCCAAAACCGCATAATTAGTTGGTATCCTTCATGATTTGCGGGCCTTGCCCCCAAACCTAAGCCTTGCTTAGTCAAGTCCAATCTGGCAGGATGGAGGGCTCCGATGCCCACTGGAAAGACTTGTGAAGCTTCTTGTGGCCATGGTGGTGGGTACCTTCTGCGGCCCATCCAGCAGTCAATCCATATGCTGCTAGGATGCACTTGGCCTCCCCCGAGGCCCAAATGGTGCCCCCAGAAAGACTACTTGAGGGCTCTATCTATCTGTTCATACATACAGGTTTATTAGTCTATACAGGTTGTTGTGTTCATGTTAGCCGTTGTGTGAAAGGTAAGTCCGGCAACTCCCAAGCCTAGGCATGTGAGTGATTCGTCTTCAGGTGACGTAGAGGCCTCATTAGAAGATGGTGTTTGAGCGTAGTGGCATAATATATGTGTTGCAGAGATGCAAGGGCTACAGTCATTCTTCGCTCGTGCTCAGAGTACGATGCGGACCTTCATCTTGAGGCACTTGCAGATAATAGCCAATCCTACCAAAAGATTGCAGAGCGCGCTTCCTGGAACCCTCCTCTCCTTGTACGTCAGATACCAAAATGTTGATATCCAGGGCCGTGCACTCCGCTGCGTATGGAAGAGCAGACGTCCATGCGTACCTGCTACGGGGCCTTGACGCCCCGGACCGAACAAGGACGGGGAGCTCAGGGTTCCCCTATTTAGAGAAACTCGAGTACTAAGATCCAAGGACTGTCAACTTTCACATGAGGACCCTCAAATCAAACCATATCATACCGCTAATTTTGGGAAATCCCCGCACTAGGGCTACGCAGGAGATTGAGAAGGACTAGGGCTGGGGAGTTTAAAGAGGTACTCGAATGATGTTTGCTCCGAGCTCATCTTCTTCTCGCTTAGGGTTTACCTGTAGACCCAATTAGCTGCAGTCCCAATAAACTGCAGTTTAAGGGGTTATACCGAGTGCTTAAGGGGAAATTACTGAAGGTAACTGGCTTTACAGGTTTGAGCCCTGTGAAGGTGAATTTGCCAGCCGCCGACGAAGACGATGTGCACTTGTTGAAGCTGGGTTATCATTGGCTCAGGGTTTATAAGTTGGGGGGCATGTTCAGTACTCTCTCTCATACACACCGGGGAATCTATTGTATCGAGTGGTTTCACGAAGTAGGGGGCCTAGCTGCTGTTTACGGGGACCATTTTGGGATGTCTCCCCGTAAACAAACATGAAGCCTCATAAAGACCTACTTTGGAAGGTAGACACATCAGATGACATCGCCTCAGAAAGCACCTGAAATACTTTAAACTCTCCTCGCAGTGCACTTAGGCAATGTTCCTCCTTGTCATCTGGAGAACCATCGCTTTCTGCCCCCCTTTGACCAGAAGCTCTTTTTTTGCAAATGCCCTTTTCCAAACAGGAATCAGCACGATCATTTCCAGAAATTTCACGGTTTTCTGTGCAATGCATTGCCATAATTAATTGCTCGCCATTTCCTTAGGTGACATATTTTCTGATGGCTCATGCGATCTGCAGTCAACAATCCGTGAGCCAGCCTTGATAAGGTTGGTTCTTATCGTTTGCAAGTGTCACTGAAAGTTTTACAAAATGAGTTTGCATCCCCTTCTAAGCCACAAAGCTGCAAGTCCCTCAACTCCGCCTCCTCACACGGTGGTGTTGCGCCATGGGCTCAAGCCGCCTAGAAGCGGACGGTCGTATGATTCATTCTGCATGGTGCACTGCCTGCTAGGCGCCTCTGAGGCCCCAAGGTATACATGAAGAACGATGTGGGAGAGGCCTTGAAGACCTGCAGCAGTACAATCGCGGGCTGCGCCAGGGCGGCACGCTGGCAGCAAGGCCTGCATCTGCTGGCCGATCTGCCAGCTCAGAGCCTGCTTCCCAACGTAGTGGCATCTTGATGCTGAAGTAGGAGAAAAGTGATGCTGTTTCAGTTTTCTACTTGGTTATAATCTGCTTCCGAAGAGGTTGAGATTGGTTCTTCCCTTTTTCGGACATGAGAGGTCTACAATGCCACCATCAATGCCTGTGCGCAAGGGCGGCAGTGGCAACTTTCCTGGCTTTTGCTCTCAGAACTGAGAGAGAAATCTATCGAGGCGACACCCGTTACGTACAACACTGCCCTTACGGCTTCTTGGTAGGCTTGAAGATTTTTGAGTCTGCGGCTTCCTCCCTCCTTTCAGTGCCTTCGTGTAGTATTTGCACTTGTACATGTTCACAGGCACGTGTAGGACCGTAGGACCTTGTTCAGGGGGCCCCCCAACTTGGATCAGGCTTGTGAGCGAGCTTCTGCCTGGCGGCAGGCCATTGGAATGCTGTCGGTTTTGGGATCCTTGCTGCTGGAGGCTACCACCACGGCGTACAACACAACAATCAGCGCACTTGCCAAAGGGCAGCAGTGGAGACGTGCTTTGGAGGTATTGCTGGAGCTACGCAAGAGCATGAAGCTTGAGGTGATCTCCATGAATGCTGCCATGACCGCCTGTGGTCGCGGTAAAGTGTGGCGGAGCGCTCAAGCTCTTCTGACATGCCTAAGTGCGGAGTGGCTGGAGGCGGACTTGATCTCCTACAACGCAGCCCTGCATGCTTTGGAGGGAGCACAGTGGAGCCTCAGTTGCTACCTGTTTGGCCAGCTGACGAAGAGCTTGCAAGCAGATGCCATTGCTAGGGGCCTACTGCTGGATGCATTCGTGGGGTCGCAGGAATGGTCTTTGGCACTGGGTGTTTGGATGAAGCTCCGAGAACAGGGATATTTGCCAGACCTGATGCTCTGTAACTCCGGAGCACGATGAGTAAGATTACTTTCTGTTACACATGGTCAAAGTCCAACGTGTGTCTTGCCAGAGTCTCTTCTTCCGCCCCTAAAGACTGGGCATGGCTCAGAGATCCAACCCACCTGAACACCCAGATGTTGACCAAAGCGGAGGCTTCTCCAATGACCTTATGTGATCCGTCTATTGTATAGCCCTATAATGCCTCGTGGGACTCCGTACGCATGAGCAATATGGACTCAATGGAGCCCACATGCGAACCCGCAAGCCCCTCAGTTCCAAACCCCGAAGCCCTGAAATCCCTAAGCACTATAACCTCAGATTTCAAACCGTCTAAACCCTTGGTAGTATTCCCTTAACCCGTCTGCAGCCCTAATCCCCCAAGCACCATGCCCCTAGAGCTTGCCCCTGACCTTAAACCCTGAAACCAGGATCATCTAATCGCCGCCATCGCCCCATTCTGTACGAATCCCCCCCAGCGCTAGGGTCTCCGAGAATCCCCTGTTATAGTCATCCCAAACCCATTGGTACAACCCTAAACCCTGAAAACCTTAAACCTTAATCCCAAAATTCTAAGCCTTAATCTGAAAACCCAAAACTCATCCCAAAGCCCTAATCCCAAAACCCTAAACCCTAATCCCAAATCCCTTATCCCTAAACAAGGCAACCGACTCGTTGGGGCTCCAGGGCCTCAGTGGCCACAAACCTTGGCGATGTTGCCTGAGGCGAACCCCTTATGTTGAGGAGCTTGGTTTAAGTTGTTTTATCTCCCTATAGTGGCGTTGGGGAGGCCATATTAATTAAAGTATATGCCTTAACAGCAGCCCAGTACAAGAAGCAGAATGAAAAGAGTTCCGTAAGAGCCCAGGGGATATATATTTATATATATGGGCTGTAGAAGTATGAGGGGACATGGGGATTATAGAGGGATGAGGGGATGTACAGGGATTATGCAGGGGGTCCCTTTTTGAGGATTGATTCGAACAGCTGTATATAATTTAGAGAGTCTCCCATGTGTGAGAAGCAGCGTAAAGGAGCCCAAGGTTTAAGATTGGGATTGCCAGGACATCATAGTCGAAGAATATAACTTAGCTCATAGTATGCTGAGAAGCATGATTCAAGCAATAGTCGGCTCTGGCTTCAAGTAGTGTAGAAAGGCAAGCATCCGTAGCTAGAAGGATGGCAGAATCCCCGTGAATGTAGTAGAGCTTGGAGTAATATGCGCAGTTTCGAAGCCAATTCAGTGACATAGTGGTTGTGATCTTACTGGGCTCATTTGGGGGAGCTACACACCTGTTTCGGTGGCAAGAATGAATGTACATGCGGCTAAGGTGACACAGAGAGCTCTGCAACTAGATATAGTATCTTACAACAGCGTTGCCTCTGCATGTACCTGGTGCTGATTTGGGAATGCTTTCTTGGTCTAAGTTTGCTGCCGGCTCTCTACGCACAAACGTGTGTCTAATGCATTCATTGCAGCTGGACGTTCTTCCACCATGATAGTTGCCGACAAGTGCGCTTACAAACTTGGGTATGAGCCAGTTGACATAGCTACGAAGGGTCCTGCTTCTTCCTGGGAGAAGAGCACGCCTCAAGCATTCCTTACTTAAGGTCCTCACACCTGATGACATTTAAGGGTCAAAGCGGTGTGTTCAATGGCTATATGCAGACAAGGTAAGCGTGCAGAGCAATGGATGCAGACTTGCGACCTGCTGTCGGAGTTGCAACAGGGCTTTTTCATAAAAGGGTTTTCGTTGACTTGATTGACCCTAACACGCCTTAGCCTAAAACACCCTAGAAGGAGTTTGCATCTATTCGCGGCGACGAGATTCAAATCTCGAATCTGTGTAAAGCAGCTATTTGTTTCCGGGGCTCGCATGGAACTGAGGCAATCCTCCGGCATGCACCCGGATGTTGTGACCTTCAGCACGGCCATCCATGCGGGCAGCAATGCAGCGTGGCAAGAAGCCCTTCTCGTCCTTCAAAACCTGTCCAGAGGATCCCTAGAAGCTGACGAATTTCCTTTTTTTGTTTTTCTTTCTTCTGGCTGTTTTGTAGATTTTTGGGAGTGCAATCCGGCAGAGGACATGTGGAGGCAGATATTGTCATCTGCAATGCAACCTTGAACCTTGCCATGCACATTGACACGGGGCTAGTGGTCAGATTTGCAGGGTTGACGAAGACGATTTTCGAAGACGATGTGTGTGGGTGCCTGGCACAACGCCGAGGCCGATTTAGCTGGCGAAGGCGATGTGCGAAGAACAAAATCGTGGTGAAGACGATTTTAAAGTCCAGCCGCTGTGGCGCGAAGACGGTTTTTGAAGTCAAGCCAACAAACCTGGAAAGCGTCTTATGGAACCACCGTCTCAAGAAACGCAGGCATTACCCCGGGCAGGGACGCTAAAACAATTTTCTGTGCGAAGACGATTTTCCAGCACGATTTCGTTTGCAAAAGAATGTCTGAAAAACAAACGCAATTCGAAATAAAGAAATCGAGGCTAACTTGCCTTGGCAGCGTTTTTTCTAATTTGTTGTTGCCTGGTTACCACAAATTATCAAATTGAGCCGCTCAATTTATCAATTTGGTTTTTTTGCGCCGCAAGATTCCTTGGCATTTCAAGTCAAAAAACACAGCAGCTCCACCGCCGCACGCCACGTGTGGTGAGCCCACCCAATTGTACCCGTTCGGGGTTGTTTTCACTTCGAAGGGGTCGCATAGCATTGGGGGTTCTTTCGAGTTCAAGGTTGCTTACTTTGTTTTTGGGCTTAGGGTGGTTTAGCTTTCAGGCTTGGGGCTGCTGAGAACTGAGCTGCTTAAAGTTGAAACTTGTTTGAACTTCCCTAAGTTTTGGGGCATTTTGGCGTTCGGGGTTGTTTAGGGCTTCGGATTGTTTGGGGCTCAGTTGAGTGTTTCTAGGTTTTCAGTCTCAGGGTGATCCGGTGGCGACAACATATGCCGAAAAGCGGCCCTTCAGAAAAAAGAGCTTCAAAATAGGGTTTCAGCCGGTGAAAGAGTATCAAAGGCCGCGGGAAGACGAAATCTGCACAAAAGGGGCTTCAGGAATAAGAGCTTCAAAAGAGGGCTTCAACGGGTAAAAGAAAGCAAGAGGCTGCGCGCAAACGAAATGTGCAGAAACAGAGCTTTAGGAAGCAGGGCTTCGAAAGAGAGCTCCAGAGGGAAAAAGAGCGTCGGAGACTGCCCGAAGACGTAATGTGCATAAAAAGAGCCTCAAGACAAAGAGCTTCAAAAAAATCCAGAAAGGGAACATGAGCCTCA